ACAGATTTTCACAAAATTGTTTTCTGTGTAGCTCAGTAAGACTTGTTTTGTTATTTGCAACTTAGAGTAGTGAGGGACACTACAGTGTAGTCATTCATCAGAAAATGACTTGAGGCTGGCGCTGCGGCTCAATAGGCTAATCCTCCGCCTAGCGGCGCCGGCACACCGGGTTCTAGTCCCGGTCGGAGCGCCGGATTCTGTCCCGGTTGCCCCTCTTCCAGGCCAGCTCTCTGCTGTGGCCTGGGAGTGCAGTGGAGGATGGCCCAAGTGCTTGGGCCCTGCACCCCATGGGAGACCAGGAAAAGCACCTGGCTCCTGGCTCCTGCCATTGGATCAGCGCGGTGCGCCGGCCGCAGCGCGCTGGCCGCGGCGGCCATTGGAGGGTGAACCAACGGCAAAGGAAGACCTTTCTCTCTGTCTCTCTCTCTCACTGTCCACTCTGCCTGCCAAAACAAAAACAAAAAAAAAAAAAAAAAAAAAATTATTCACTCAGTCTTCTTACCGTGCTGAACATTACTGTTTTCTATGACTCTGTCTAACCACTGTGCAACACAGTGCATAGCCTTGGGAAATCTTGGAAAAGATGCAGCAAAAGTGATGTTGGGAATTTCATAAATCATACTCGAAGCCATTGAAAAGTGAGGATCTGAGAGGTAACGAAAAAGAGAAAAATCAAAGATGAGGGCACTAAACTTCACAAGAAGATATTTGAAATACAAAGCATTAAAGAAGGTTTTTAGGGAAACTATGAAGTCTTCCAGAATTCTGACAAAAGTGCTATTGTTTTGAGTAAAAATCCACGACTTGGAATTTGTAAATAAGATTTACCTTTATAAAATTACATTTCAGGGGGCTGGTGCTGTGGCGCAGCAAGTTAACACCCTGGCCTGAAGCGCCAGCATCCCATATGGGCACTGGTTCGAGACCCGGTTGCTCCACTTCCAATCCAGCTCTCTGCTATGGCCTGGGAAAGCAGTGGAAGATGGCCCAAGTCTTTGGTCCCCTGCACCCCTGTGGGAGACCTGGAGGAAGCTCCTGGCTCCTGGCTTCGGATCAGGGCAGCTCCAGCCATTGTGGCCAATTGGGTGTGAACCAGCAGATGGAAGACCTCTCTCTCTCTCTCTCTCTCTGCCTCTCCTCTCTCTGTGTAACTCTTTCAAATAAACAAATAAATCTTAAAAAAAAAAAATAGTAAGGAGGCTGACGCCATCTTGCTGCATACACAGAGGCCTGGCCTCAGTAAAATAAAATAAAATAAAATAAAAATTACATTGCAGGAGAGAAGAAGAGGTGCACTTATCAGAGACTGGCAACACCAGGTCCCAGTTCCGTATATCAAAATTCTTCATACACAAGTACAATCCAAGATCCCTTTCAGTAACTGCCTTGTGGTCTTCAGGGAAGAGGGGCTCTTATGGTGGCATAGGGAAGTGTGACTTGTGACGTTCTGCAGGGGAAGAAGCATCTACCTTGTAGCCAAAGGTTGACAAGCTTAAAAGGTTACTCAAGAAAGGGGACCACTGACACACATTTGAAACAGGTCATAATATTTGTCCAGATCTCTAAAGGAGTCTTGATCTTTGTTTAAGACATTCAAACATTGAAAATCTTCATTGGTTGAACTTTTGGAATATGCATGACATGTTCAGTTGACTTTCAGTGGTTGATTTGCTTTTCTCTTTATGTTTTGACAGGCAGAGTGGTCAGTGAGAGAGAGAGACAAAGAGAAAGGTTTTCCTTTTCCGTTGGTTCATCCCCTAATGGACACTGCGGCCGGCGTGCTGTGGCTGGCGCACCGCACTGATCTGAGCCAGGAGCCAGGTGCTTCTCCTGGTCTCCCATGCAGGTACAGGGTCCAAGGACTTGGGCCATCCTCCACTGCACTCCCGGGCCACAACAGAGAGCTGGCCTGGAAGAGGAGCAACCGGGACAGAATCGGGCCCCCAAACTGGGACTAGAACCCGGGGTGCCGGCGCTGCAGGCAGAAGATTAGCCTATTGAGCCGTGGCGCCAGCCCTCTTTATATATATATTTAAAGATGTATTTATTTATTTGAAAAGTAGAATTACAGAGAGAAGGAGAGACAGAGAGATCTTCCATCTGTTGATCGACTTCCCAAATGGCCCTGATGGCCAGGGTGGGGCCAGGCAGAAGCCAGGAGCCAGAAGCTTTATCTTCATCCAGGTCTCCCATATGGGTGCAGGGGCACAAGCATTTGGGCCATCTTCCACTGATTTCCCAGGCACATTAGCAGGGAGTTTAATCAGAAGTGGAGCAGCTGG